AGAGCAGGCTGGGGGCGGCAGACAGACCCAGGTCTCCCCGATGACCCCCCCGCCTCCTCCTCCTCCTGCCCACAGGGCCCGGGTGGGGTCCAGGGTCCCGGTGTGTCCCCTGTGGCTCCAGGCCCCGCCTCCCCCCAGGTGCAACTGGCTTGAGGTGGAAGCAAATCCAGGGACCAGCAGCAGCGAGGACACCTGCTCCTCCCAGATGTTTTGGCTGCTCATCCTCGCTCTGTTGGGGCTCTGGGGAGCATGGTATGCAGTGACAGACATTAACTCAACAGGTGAGCAGCAGGGAGGTCCTCTAGGGCTCAGGGCCAGGTGACTCATCAGAGACCCTCCAGATCTGCCCCCCAATATGGGGAGACACCCAGCCCCTCTCAGTTTCTGGCCTGTCTCACGTGCTGGGGAGGGGTCTCCCGGGGGACCCTCACATCATGCAGCATCACCGAGAGGCTGTGCGAGGCTGGAGGGGTGAACCCCGACTCTGGGGAGGCATCATCACCCCTACACTGCTTACGCCGGGACCCCAAATCCTTCCCCGGGGTGGTGGACGGGCAGCTGTGCAGTGTGGGAGGGGTCCGGGGACACTGTCCCGTGTGGGCCTGTCTAGATCCTGAGCGCTCAGGGGAGCGTCTCCCGCTGCCCGCGGGTGTTGGCAGCTGCTCCCCGCAGGGAGCTGGCGTCGGGGAGAGCACCGTGCACCCTGCACACGGAGGTTCAGGACCCTAGAGGTTCTGCACACGGCACGTCTTCCCAGACCTGACTCCTGTGCTCTGAGGACGGGCGGGTGGGGCGCGTGCTCCCGCCAGCAGGAACCGTGCTCCCGCCGGGACGTACTCGTGTGCTCGGCGACCACGGCCGCCTGCTGTTTCCTGCTCCTGCTCCCGTCTGTGGTGAAAGCCTGGGCCGGGGGCGCGGGAGGCAGAGCTGCTCTCGGCGGCTCTCCCCAGCCTCCCCCTGCAAATTCATTCAGGCTCGTCCACGGCAGAGGAATCCATGGACCGTCCTGACCGCGGTGGTGGCGCCCCGACGGGGTCATGGTCCTGGGGCTTCGACGCAGGGTCGTGCGGTCAGTGCGTTCTCCAGCGAACCTGCAGCCCTGGGCCGCGGCTGAGCGGGGAGCATCCGAGGTAAATGCCTGTGAGAGCAGAGTGGAGCCTCGTCTCCCCGACAGCGCCAACGAGCTGATAGATCGGGTCCTTCGGGCCTCTCGGTGGCTCCGGGCGGAGGTGTTTGGTGCAGAAAGTCGGGAACGGGTGGCGTCGTAAGCGAGGCAGGAACGTCCCTACAAGCCCTTCAACAAGGGCTCCGCCCAGCGGCCCTGGGGCCCTTCTAGGAAACTTCAATTAAAGGTAGATGTGGGGTTCCTGGTGCTCCCGCCTCCCATGCCTGCGGCACCACGCGCTGAGAGGGAAAGTTGCCCCCAAAGCAAAAGCCCCAAGAACACGCGGCCCCACAGCCATCCCACCAGCTGCCGGCGCCACCCCCGTAGCCGCAGTGGTGGCCGCACCCGGGACCATTTGGGCCGACGGCCCGGAACTGGCCTCGCGCTGAGGCCGTGGCGTCGCCGGCATGAGAGAAAGGGACGGGCGAGCTGACCCCCGGCGCCTCCACAGCCGCTCTGGCTCGCGGCAGCCCCGGCAGCGCCCGCCGCCACCCAGAGAGCCAGACCCCGCGGGCCCGGCCGCTCCCGGCAGAGCCTGCAGGGCGGCGACAACCATTGAAGAAGAGGGCAGGACAAAAACAGATGCCTGGATCAAGGAGATGGGGTCCATACACCCCATGGAATATGACTCAGCATTCAGAAAAGACAAACACATGCCATGTGCAGCAACGTGGATGGCGCGGGAAGGGATCATGCTCCGCGAAATAAGCCAGAAAGAAAAAGAAAAATCCCGGATGGTCTCACTCATCGCAGGAATCCAGAAAACCTAAATAAGGGACCAGGAAAATGAATAACTCTAAGAAAGTGAAAATCAAAATCAACAAAAAACTATGAACCAGAGACACTCTATGGGGGGTGGGGGCGGGAGGGGAGGGATTGGGGTCAGAATGGGGGGGTTGCAATTGTATGGGGAATATAAAAATAAAATTTATTATTTAAAAAAAAAAAGAAAAAAGAAAAGGGCAGGAGTCGCGGGGTCCCGGGCCAGCCGGGAGGCGCGGCCTAAACGTGCACCTGCGTGGCCGGGGTCCCGGCGGGCCAGGCTGCGCCCGAGGACGAGGGGTGTTCCGGTTTTCCCTTTCATCCAGGGTCACGGTTGCTTTTGCCTGTGAGGACCCCCAAATTCACCACAGCCTGCTCGGGCCCCTGGCCACAGTCCCGCGTCCCTTCCCGGGTCTGTGGGTCCCACACCTCGTGGCTAGTTTGTCCCCGCGGGTTAAAGCTGCGAACCCTCGGCCTGCAGGTAGCTCCAGCCGCGGACCGCGCATCCCCGCTCCGGCCCGCTGCCCTCCCTCCCTCCGCTGCCAAGTGGACTCAACGCCCTCCCCGCGCGGCTGCTCGCCTGTTGCTCTGTCTTGGGGGGGGGGGTGCTGAGAAAACCTGAAACCGGGGGAACTTGGGGGCCGTAAGGGCTGAGACGCGGGGCTGTGCAGATCTCCATGTAAAAGCTGGGTCCGCGGCAGCGACCCCGCGTGTGTGGGAGGCATGAACGTGACCTTCCAAAGGAAAGTTTTTCGCTGCGCCTGTGCACCTGGCTCCCGTGTGCTGTTCTCAGAGAAGGTCCCCGCTCGCCGTCCCGCCTCCTGCTCCGCGCGTCGTGCGGCTGTCGGGGCTGTTACCTGCGGCAGTGCGCGACCCGGACACCTGGGGAGCTCGTCCTAATAGCACGTTCTTGAGGAGAAGATGTATTTTTGAGCAAAGGAATGTAGTAAAGATCCCGCAGGACCTCCAGCCCAGGTGCCATGAGCAGCCCACGCGGGCGGCACCACCAAGTGCGCTTCCTCGCAGCTCCTCCCCCCAAGACGCTCGGCCGGGCCTCACCCTCTTACCTGCCGGGGCGGCCGCCGGCCAGCTGCGCCCTCTCCACGGCCGCCCCCGAACGCCCGCAGCTTCCCCTTGCCTCGCCCCTTGTCGGGGACTTTGCCGCAGAGGCTGCGCCTGCTGCACAGCGAGGCTGCCACGTGCCAGACACGGACACGGCTGTGCGTGAAGGGAGCCTTGGTCTTCACACCGGGGCTCGGCCCTTCCGGGGCGCCCCGGGCCTGGGGCTCTCGCCTGAGTAATGACGCTTCCCCTGACCTCCCCGACCCGAAGCACCGCTCGTCCTTCCTCCGCCCGGGGAAAGGCTGGAGTTCATGTCCACAACTCAGTCACCCTGGGAGGGCCGCGTCCTCCGCTGACGCCTGCCCAAAGAGGCGGGACTGCGCAGCGGCTCCTCCATGTCTGCACAGGGGCCCGCCCGGCCTCGCACGCAGGGACGCCTGCCGGACTGGGCAGCGTTGTGCCCAGGAGCCCCTGGCGGGCGCTGAGGTGGGGAGCCGAGGGGCCTGCCCTGAGATCAGGGCGCCTGGAGGGGCAGGAGGTGCCCAGGGTCCAGCCCCGCAGCCCGGTGGGGCAGAGGAAAACTGCACGGACCGCCCACAGGGGGGCTGGTTTAATAATTGGGGGGGTCCTAGTTCAGGGGCCCTGCTGCACCGGAGCTGGGGGCCTGGAGCGGGGTCTGCCCCTGGGGCATCCGCTTGGCCCCCGTCAGGCAGCTCTGGGCTCCCAGGGTTGGGGTCCTGTGCCAGGGTGAGAGGGGACCCCACTCACATGCGGGAGTCCCGCTGCCGTGGACGCAGGGCCGCTGTGCCGACTGGTGACCCAGCCGCTCCACCCCAAGCCCGCCCTGCCTTACCCCCCTCAGGCTGCCCGCCCGCGAGCCTGACTGGACGGTCCTGCCACCCCGGGCTGAGTGGACCCCGCAGCACCATCGGCTCAGAGCTGCCCCTGGTCTGCCTGTGTCAGGATCCGGGGGGCGCACGGGAAAGGGCGCAGGCCCAGGGGCGCAGCCTGGGGAGGCTCAGCGGCTGGTGCTGCTGCAGGGCTGGCTCAGGCCTGGGAGGCCTCTGCCCACGCCCGCGACGCGCTAGGAAGGGGCTGCCCAGGGCACAGAGGTCCTGGGGGAGACAAGGGGGCTCCCCGGCATCGCCCAGCCAGGCAGGTGGACGGGGTGGTGCCCTGCCCCGGGCCTGGTTTCCGTGGGAGGAGGCGCCTCCCCACGGCGACGGTGCCCCGGGTTGTGGATGTGGGGAGGGCACCGGGAGGAGAGCCAGGATGCTCTTCCTGGGCCAGCTGTGGGGACCAGGGCCCTGGTCTGGCCTGTGCGGGGGGCTGTGGGGGGCAGAGACTGTCCCCAGGCCTGCTCAGGGCTGTGAGGACAGAGCAGGCGGGTGGCCCAGGCCAGCCCAGGGCATCCAGCAGGCCTGTCACTGTCTGAGCCCCTCCCCATGCAGAAACGGGGGCACGGCCCCCCAGGTAGCTGTGAGGGGTCGGGGCCCTCAGGGTGCAGGGGGAACAGTCCACCTCCCTCCCTGGGAACAAGGCCCCTCCCGTGTGGGGTGGCTCCCCCTGCACACAGAGCTCAGGAGCCTGCGGGGAGCAGGGACCCTGCCAGAGGGGCCCATGGAGGGAGGGGACACCATTTCCATAGACCCCGAGTCAGCAGCAGAGACGGGGCGCCTGGGGGGGGCTGTGAGGGCACGGAAGCTCTGCGGTCAGAGCACCTGGGACTCAGGGGGCAGGGGTGCCTCCCTGCCTCTGGGCTGTGAGAGGACGGGGCGGAAGTGGGGTTGGGTGTGGGCAGGGCTGGCAGAGGAGGGACCTGATAAGACCTGTGGGTCCCACCCGCTTCCTCACCCTCCGCACCCCCCACAGCCCCCACCCCGTCCCTCGTCCCCCGCTCCCGGGTCCCCTGCCCAGCGGCTGCCGCTGCCCCCGCCGGCCGGCTGCGCGTGCCCTGGGACTTCCTGAGAGCAGAGCAACTGGTTTCCCTTTTGTTTTCAATATCTCCGAAATGTCGGTGAGTTGCTGCTGAGGCGGCTCCTGCGGGCGGCGGGAGTCGGGGGGCTTCATGGCATGAGGGGGTGTCGCGTCGGGACAACACCGCACTGACAAACGGGAGCCGTGGAGCGGGCTGCACAAGGCAGGATGCTGCTGAAGAGCAAGATCCTGGCCCTTTTATTGACACACGTAATTGGTTTTTAGGAGATTAGGGAGATTAAGGCAAGGGGAGGGTGTAGAAGATTAGGGGTGGTGGGTCTGTCCTCCAGGCGCTTCTCATCCACTTGATGACACACCCCCATCCCCAGCCTCTGATCTCATCAACAAGGCCCTCCAGGGATCAGCTTCTGGGGTCCCTTGCCATGCATCGGTCCTCAGCCCCCGGGCCTTCCGGACATGCCTTGTGAAGCACAACCTTCCCGGTGTGACCCAGCTTTGGCTCTTGTTTGATCTGAAGGGCTGAAGGGTTTGGGCTCCTGTTCCTAACTGGCCGGGCCACTTTGACCTTGTTTAGGTGACAAAATGGTGGCCGAATAGGCTGCCGAGGAGGAGCAGACCCACAATGGGGCCCAGGCAGCTGCCGGGGGCTCCTCTGACGCCGAGGACCCTCCCCGGGAGACGTCGGGACCGGGCGGCCCGGATCCTGGTGAGTCTGAGCCCGCTGCGCCCCTCCCCCACCCCGCCTGCCCCTCCCCGCCCTGCTGCCCCGGAGCCACCCCCACCCCTGAGCCCCGACCCGATCCGCGAGGCCACCCGCAGGAGCCCCCCAAGCGGCTGGACCCCTGTGTGCTCCTGCCCCAACCTACCTGGGAAAGGTGAGCTTTTCCCGCCCCTAGGGTCCACCGGCTGCAGGGTGGGGCCCCGCTCGCCCCAGAAGGTGGGGGTGATAAACAGAGGCCTGTGCTATTGTGGGGGTGTGGGGGGGGAGGGGCTCAGGGCTCCGGGTCAGGACTCGGTGAGGACAGACACCCAGTGGGCACGGACCCTGCGGGGCACAGGAGACAGGGCCCCCCTCACCCCAATCAGGGGTCACCCGGCCATCCCCGGGAGCTGCTGCCCATTTCACAGACTGCGGGACCGAGACGACCCCAGCCCCTGCCCCGCCCTGTCCCGCTCCCCAGGTGCCGATGCTCATCCTCCTGGGGTCCCCGCCCTGCGCCCCAGCCGTGGGCCCCTGCAAAGACGAGGAGTACCTGGTGGGGGCCGAGTGCTGCCCCAAGTGCAGCCCAGGTGGGTGCAGCCGCCCGGCCCGGCCCCGCTCTGCCCTGGGAGGGAGGGGGTCAGTGCTGGGGCTGAGGGCCGGCACCCCACTGACTGGGAAACCCCTCCATGAGACCCCCCTGCAGGGTCCTCCTCCCCAGACCCTCCTGCTCCCCGCAGGGGGCACCTGGGGCAGGACACCCCCAGAGAAGGGACCCAGGGTCAGGGGGCTCTGCACAGGCCTCGTGTCTAGGCCCACGTCCCTCCAGAAGCTTCTGACTCTCCTGACAGGCTCCTGCTGGGGCCCCAAATGTCAGGGGCTGGGGAGCAGCTCGGTGCCCTCAGTCCCTGGGGTGGGGCCACCCTGCTGTGATTCAGGTGCCCCTCGGGGTGGCCCCTGATCTGGGGGCCCTCTGGCTGCAGGTTACCGGGTGAAGCAGCCCTGCGGGGAGTACACGGGCACAGTGTGTGTCCCCTGCGCCCCCGGGACCTACACGGACAAGCTCAATGACCTGAGGGAGTGTCTGCCCTGCCGGGACTGCCGCCCAGGTGAGCCCCTCCTCACAGCCACCCCTGCTAACTGCTGTTCCCCCTGCTCCTTGGGCTCCAGTGCCCCCCCGGGGGTCCTCCGGGAGCTGAGGCCTCTGTCCACCCTGGTCTGTCCCCGGGACACCCAGAGGGTCCCTCTGCTCCCCCCGCAAGGGCCCCGGGACACCCAGGAGCTCGGCTGTCAGGACCCGCCCACACCCCCCGAGGCCCCCCCAACCTGCCCTGACAGGTGGTGCGGGGAGGGGGTCCCCAGGGGGTGAAATGGGAAGAGAGGGCTTTGGGGTTCAGAAAGGTGTGGTAGGGACAAGCCTGGGGGCACCGGATTGGGGTCTACCTGCCTCCCCCAGGGCTGACGGGAGATGCCCCTGTCTGTCCACTGGGAGCAGGTCAGCCCTCCCCTCCCCCCGCCACATCCCCAGGGGAGACCCTCCCTGCCCCCAAAACTCCCCTTCACCCTGTGGCTAATGTCCCTCACCAGGTCACCCCAGACCCCAGCCGTGTGGCTCCCCGGCCCTGGGTGCTTCTCGGCACAGGTCTCCCCAGGTCCCGGGCGGAGCTGAGTGCGGACAGGCCGGTGCGGGCGGGTGGGCTCCGTGCCCAGCGTCCCCACCCTGCGGGAGCCCGGCCTGGGGCCCAGACAGGCGCCTCCCCCAAAGGCAGCCGCGGCTCAGCCCTCTCTCCTGGCAGCCCTGGGCCTGGTGACCCGGCGCGGGTGCTCCCCCACGGGGGACACTGTGTGTGGCTGCGTCCCTGGCCACGTCTGCGTCCCTGAGCACGGGGACAGCTGCGCGCAGTGCCAGCCCCACACGGCCTGCAGGCCCGGCCAGAGCGTGAGGCAGAGAGGTGAGCACCCCCAGGGCCACTCCTGACACAGCCGGGCCCCTCCCCGGGAAGGGACATCCCAGCCCCCCAAGGGCACCCAGCTGCCCCACCCAGCCCGACCTGCCCTGCCCCGCAGGCACCGAGTGGCAGGACACGCTGTGTGAGGACTGTCCCCCCGGAACCTTCTCTCCCGACGGGACCCTGGAGCAGTGCCGGCCCCATGTGGCCTGCAGGCCCGGCCAGAGCGTGAGGCAGAGAGGTGAGCACCCCCAGGGCCACTCCTGACACAGCTGGGGCCCCACCCGGGAAGGGACACCCCAGCACCCAGGGGGCTGCCCAGCCACCCGGCCAGCCCCGCCTGCCCCTGCCCCGCAGGCACCGAGCAGCAGGACACGCTGTGTGAGGACTGTCCCCCCGGAACCTTCTCTCCCAATGGGACCCTGGAGCAGTGCCGGCCCCACACGGCCTGCAGGCCCGGCCAGAGCGTGAGGCAGAGAGGTGAGCACCCCCAGGGCCACTCCTGACACAGCCGGGGCCCCTCCCTGGGAAGGGACATGCCCAGCCCCCCGGGGGCACCCAGCTGTCCCACCCAGCCTGACCTGACCTGCCCTGCAGGCACCGAGCAGCAGGACACGCTGTGTGAGGACTGTCCCCCTGGAACCTTCTCTCCCGACGGGACCCTGGAGCAGTGCCGGCCCCACTCGGCCTGCAGGCCCGGCCAGAGCGTGAGGCAGAGAGGTGAGCACCCCCAGGGCCACTCCTGACACAGCCGGGGCCCCACCCGGGAAGGGACACCCCAGCACCCCGGGGTCGCCCAGCCCCCTGCCCAGCCCCACCTGCCCCTGCCCCGCAGGCACCGAGCGGCAGGACACCTTGTGTGGGGACTGTCCCCACGGAACCTTCTCCCCCAACGGGACCCTGGTGCAGTGCCGGCCCTGGACCAGGTGGGAGACCCGGCCTCAGCCAGAGTCTGGGGGATCCTGGTGGAACCTGGAGAGATAAGGGCCACCCCCAAGTGAGACACCCTATGGCCTGTCCTCTGTGTCTCCCTGTCACATCCGTCTCCCTGTCCTTCCGGGCCCTCCCTGGAGCGGGCTGTGGGAGGCAGACAGACACTGGTCCCCCAATGTTCCCCCCGCCCCATCCTGCTCCCGCCCCAGGGCCCGGGTGGGGTCCAGGGTCCCGGTGTGTCCCCTGCGGCTCCAGGCCCCGCCTCCCCCCAGGTGCAGCCGGCTTCAGGTGGAAGCAAATCCGGGGACCAGCAGCAGCGACGTCACCTGCTCCTCCTGGCCCCTTATTCTGCTTGTGCTCCTGCTTCTGCTTCTGCTCGTCCCTGTCCTGGGGGCGCTCGGGGTCCTCGGGGCACGATGGGCTCTCAGGGGAAGAAATGGACGACCAGGTGAGCAGCGGGGAGTCCTCTGGGGCTCAGGGCCCGCTGACTCATCAGAGACCCTCCAGATCTGCCCCCAACATAGGGAGACACCCAGCACCTCTCAGGCTCTGGTCTGTCCCGTTTTGGGGAGGGGTGCCCCGGGGGGACCCTGATGTCATACAGCGTCACTGGGAGGCTGTGCAAGGCTGGAGGGTGAACCCCGACTCAGGGGAGGCATCATCACCCCTGCACTGCTCATGCCGGACCCGAGGCGGTGGACAGGCGTGGCAGAGCAGGGGAAGGGGCCGGGACAATATGTCTGACGGGGCCAGCCTGGCCGGTCCCCGGGTGCACAGGGGAGCAGCTCACACTCGTCCACGGGGTACACGGGGTAGATCTAGCTGCTGCCCCTCAGCCCACCCCCGTCCATGGCCCCAGCACAGGGTCTGGGTCGGGTCTGAGAGCTGGACAGGGACACTGTCCGCCCCCCCTCCCCGGCACCCGCTCCTGAGGGGACCCTCTGTCAGGGCCCCCCTCCCGATGACACACTCTGGGGGAGTGGGGGGCTGGGCTGGGAGGGGCCGGGTGCCCCGAGTGCTGGGCCCTGGGGACAGGCCAGCAAGGGCCCGAGCCTCGGCCTCGCTGTGTCCGCGGGTCCCTGGGAGAAGGGCCCCCGGGGTGCCGGGCGGGCGGGGCCCCCGACTTGCTGACCCTCCTGACCTGTGTCTGTTCCGCAGGGGAACCCCCCACAGGGAGACCCCACCAGGTACGGCTGCTCCCCCAGGGACGTGGTGGGTGGGGCTCCCTGGTCCCGAGACCCCGTCTCAGTCCTGCCCCCGGGGGTGGGGGGGCACAGCCTCCCCTGAGACCGGGGGTCCCCCGCGACAGCACCCCAGGGTCAGGAGCCGGGCCTCAGGGCGTCCATATGCTCTGAACCCACAGATGAGGACACAGGGTGCAGCAGGGGACCCCGCGGCTGCCCAAGCCCTGCAGGCCTGTCCGGCCGTCGCCACGGAGGCTGAGGAGGAAACGGTGCCCTGAGTCCCGGGGGCGGCCCCCCCGCTGGCCACGGGGCCCGGGACACAGAGGACTGACCGCCGGGGGCGCCTGCTGGAGGTGCCAGGACACGCACGGCCTGGGAGTTGGGGGCCCCCCATGCTCACTGCAGCCCACCCAAGAGGAGCGGGGCCATGATTGGGACTTGGGGACCCCCGGCCTCCCACGTGTCTCTGGAGGCCGAGCCCTCCCCGCAGCCCGGAAGTGCCCAGGACGAGTGCCCGCTGCACCCTCTGCCCCGGCCCTGAGCTGTGCTGGCGAGAGGGACGGGGTGTGAGGGCGCCAGGACCCCCATGCAATGTGGGGTCACAGCCCACCTGGCCAGCATGTGCCGGCTACTCCCCGTGACTGACATTCCCCCGGGCAGCATGTGTCGTCCTGGCCGCGCCCTGGAGACGGCACCGACCCCGCCGTGACCTCAACCCGCCCAGGGGCCCAGCTCGGGCCCAGGACCCAGTGGCCTCCAGGCGGGAGCGGGGAGAGGAGGCTGCGGGTCTGCCCCCCTCCCGGCACCCCCACCCTGGCCGGGCCTGAATAAACTGGGTGAACAGCCCTGGCGGGCGGAGCGTGCTGATGCCTCTGCCACCCTCTGTGCGGACCAACCAGGGCCGGGAGCTCAGGGCGGGGGAGGAGAGGGCGCCGGGGAGATGGGTGGGGGACGGAGCTTTGTGCCCAGGTGCCACCCCGGCCCTGCCCCGCCTGCCAGGCCGTGGGGCGGCCTCTGTGCCTGAGCCGCGACCCGGCCCGGGGGTGAGCTGCTGGGTCTGGGGGCGCCTGGACAGACACGGCAGCCCGGGACACGGCCCTCGTGGGGTCCTGGGGGGCCCCTGCTGGGGGAGCCTCACCCAACCCACTGAGCCAGCCAGGCCCTGGCACCCTGGTCCCCTGGGAGCGCCGCACCCCCAGCGGGCTGCCCCCCTCCTGCCCTCCCAGGGCCCCAGCCCCTGCCCGAGCCATCGCGCCGCCTCCCTGACCGTGCAGGCTCTGTCCTGCCCCGGCCCCTCCTGCCCCCCGTCCCTCTAGACCAGGACGAGCTGCCTTGCTGCCACCCTGTGCCCATCAGCAGCAGCTGCTGCCCCCTGACCCTCCCTGGAGAGCAGCCACTGGTGTGGCACCCGCTGGCCGCTGGGTCCTGGCTGGCCGGGGAGGCTGGGCTGGGCCAGCAGGGGAGACGTCCATCCCCGGAGGGCCCCACCTGGAGCTCACTCCTGGGGGCCCAACCCTCGACGTGGGGCCCCTGGCCCCGGTCTATGCCCCCGTCTCGCATCCCCGCTGCCTCCCCGGCGCTCCCCCCAGGGCCTGGCCCTCCTGACTTGGGGCTCTCTGGGGACCACGCCCCTTGTGAGGTCCCCCAGCCCCCCGACTCCAGGCAGGTGTTCCAGCCTGACGGCACAGGCAGCCCCGCCCTCCACTCCCACCAGCCGCACAGCCGCGCAGCCCTGCCGGGGCCCAGCCCGCGCCCGGGGGTGCTAGTGGCGCTCGCAGCGGAGGGCGGGCCTGGGAAGGGGCCGGGGACAGGGCAACAGCCCAACCAAGGTGCCAGGGCCTCCCGACCCCCCCGCCCCGCAGTGGCCCTCACCCCCGGGCTGCCCCCCAGGCGGGCTCCGCCTGGCTCACCGCGCCCCAGGGCCGCCTGCCCAACCTGAGGACACTTTTAGGTAACGGCCCCCCCGGGAGCCCCAGTCACGGTGGGGGGCTGCGTCCTCCCTCTGACGCCTGCTCCAAGAGGCAGGACTGGCGGCGGCTTCCTCCGTGTGCTCACAGGGGCCAGCCCGGCCTCGCGTGCAGGAGACGCCTGTCCGAAGGGGCGACAAGGCAGGAGCACGTGGTCGGCGGGACAGCCGGGGTGGCCGGGACGGCCGGGCTGGCCGGGGTGGCCGGGGTGGCCGCCTGCCGGGCTCTGGAATGGGGAGACGCCAAAAAGCCCAAAGGGCCGAAAACCCAGACCCGGGGCTGTGGCGACACGACGCCCACACGGCAGGGGCCTGTGGCCGCAGCCGATCGCAGGTCAGGGCCCGACCGAGGACAGGACAGGGTCTGTGGGTCTCCCCCGTGCGCAGCTGCAAGGGGCCCCGGGCTCCAGCGCCTCGGGGTGTCTCTTACAAACAGGGAGACAAAGAGGCACTGTGGCCCCCGGGGGCGGCTGCCCCACCCGGAGAGCGTCAGTGCTGGTCCCCACCGGTCACCAGGGTGCTGGGCAGCCCTGGCCGGCAGGGATGGTCGCTGCGGGCCCCCCCGGGGCGGTGTCAGACACCCCCAGTGTGAGGAGCTCCTGGCAGTTGTTGGGCGACGCCGGCGACGAGCAGCTCTTGGAGACCCAGGCCCGGGCCTCGGGGTCCCTTCAGGCCGCGGGGAGACGGGATGGAAACCCCGTCCCGGCGAAGGTCTTCGGCTTCTCTCTCTCCGCAGAGGCCGCTGGCCCCTCTTTCCTCCTCTGCCAGAGGCCAGGGCTGGCTCTGCTGATCCTCAGCGGCCTGTCCGGCCGCCATTGTGTTACCTGCAGTTCTGGATCCCAAGCAAGGCCGGAAGGGCCAGTCCGTTGGGTCCAGGAGCCCGGCCCCGCGAGGCGCCTTTCAGGTCCGTCAGGAGCGCGAGGCCGGATCCCGCTGGGAAGCGCGAGGTCGCGAGGGTGACCGGGACGCCCGGGGCTGAGGCCCGACGCACAGCACGGATCCCGCTTACACCCCCCGCGGCGTGACGGGCACCGAGGACCATGTAGGACAAGGGACCCCGAAGCGGCCCCGTGGACGCCTTGTGGACGAGCCTGAGGCCGCGGGGGGACCCCGAGCCTGACCCCAGGGGCCACCCTGAGCCTGGAGCAGGGGAGCCGGGCCCGGGACAGACTCGGGCCCCGATTCTCCAGGGACTCCCTCCCCCGTCCTGTCACCTCCGGCCCCTCGCGACCGCGCGGCCGGGTTCCTGGAGCAGAGAGAGGCCGGGGTCTTGCTCTCCGCGGCGCCCGTGGCTGTCCGTGTGGCGCCGCCCGCAGCAGCCGGGAGAGTCTTTCCCTTTCTTCTTGGGGCCGGAGCTGGCTCTGCTCAGGGTGGTCTCTCAGCGCCCCGACCCCACCTCCTGTCCTGTCGGGGTGCCCCGCCCACAAGTCTGATCGGCCGTTTTGCACCCACCGGCTCCCCGCTCGCCCCTGACCGGTCCCTTCCGCCATCCAGGACGTTCCAGCTGCCTAAAGGGCTCTAAGCGCTCCTGCCCCCCTGACTCTGCAGGAGCCACGGGGGGGGCCGCTGAGGCCGCCCTCCCCGCCGCGGGGCGGCTTCCCCGAAGAGCAGGACGCCTGCACCTGGGGGGGGGTCCCCTCTCACCCTGGCACAGGACCCTCCCCTGGGAGCCCAGAGCCGCCTGACGGGGGCCCAGGGCGAGGCCCCAGGGGGAAGCCCGGTGCAGCAGGGCCTTCAAAGAGGACCCCCTAAGTGTTGCAGCAGCCCCCCTGGAGGCGTCGCTACCGTGTTCCTCTGCCCCCTGAGGACGCTCAGCTGGACCCTGGGCTCCTCCTGCCCGGGGCCCCACTGCAGGGCAGGCCCCTCCAGGCACGATACAGACCCGAGCGGCCTCAGTGGCGCAGGCGGCGGATCCTCGTGGGTCTCTCCCCTGCCGCTCCACACGAGCCGGTCATGGCCCCTCGGAGCCCAGCGCGGCCCCTGATGCTCGCCTCCTGCCCGTGGAGAGGACCCGCCGGGGCCTGGGCTGACTGCACCACGGGGTCCTACCAGCCCCGGACTGAGGAACCGTCCAGGCAGCTTGGGGGCGGGCGCCCCGAGAGAGGAGGGAAGCCAGGGTCGGAGCCCGAGAAGCTGCTCCAGCCTCAGAGGAAGGAGGACCCAGCAGTGTTAGGGGGAAAGGATGTCCTGAGCTAATCCCATACAGGCTTTGTGGACGCCACCCCCACTCCAGACTAAAGCCATCAGGACTTGGGAAAGACAAATCCCGTCACCACCAAGGGAGGGTGGCTGGGACCTGAGGGTGGAGTTGGGCAGCCAGGTTGGATATAAAAACCAAACACGTGGGCCTTGGGCTCTCTCTCTGGCTCGCGATCGCTCGCCTCCTGGCTTCACGGCTCCTGGCTGGCGGCAGCTCTCAGAGCGCCATTTTGGGATTCCTGGTCAGCGGATCGGGTAGGACGCATTTAAAACTTTGTCTCCCACTTTCCTCCCAGAGCTGTGCATTTCCTCCTTTCCCCTTCCCTGTGAATAAACCTTTTATGAACCTTTCGCGTGCGCCTGCGGTGGAGCATGGATAAGTCCTTTTAAGCGCGCGGGTGAGGACCCACAGTCAGGCACCCCGTTTTGTATCGGAGTTGCTCTACAACAGTTTGGCGCCCAGCGTGGTTTCCAAGTTACACCCGCGGTGGACCAGCCCAAAGTAACATTCCTGGCGCTGGTCACCATAAGCGCACTAGTTCTGCAGGACTCGCAGTGTCATATTTGTCTCAAGTCCTGAAAAGTCTGTTTTTTCCCTGTGCGTACAGCCCTTGTGGGTGCGTTTCTGACTCAAATATGGCCTCAACCACGAGCCTCTACAGTTTCATCCCTAGCCTGAGTTCTTTCAGTTTCCTTCCGGCCTTGAATTTGAGCAGCCTTCTTCCATTAAATATCACCGCCCGTTTCATGAATATAAATAATTTGATGAAGCCTGGTGCATGGCACGTGATTTCACTATTGTGTCCATACATGGGTGGGTTACAAGTCATCCCTTTACAGTCCGTGCTTCTGGGTGGTTTTTGGTAATATGTGTAAGCGCCGTTTGCTACATTCTTGTTTCTGTGAGAGGCAGATGTTCTACTTCACATGCTGAGAATGTGCAACAACACATTCAGGCTCTTCACGTAGCCATACAACAACAAATCCAGGCTTTTAACGTGGCCATACAACAACAACATCAGGCCTTTGATTGACTATTAAGTGCATGAGGGATGAGAACCGTAACCTCTTTGAGTCAGTTTACAAAAGCATACAGGATCGAGCCTTTAAAAGTATGCAGGACAGGATAGAGGCCGCCCTCCATAAATTGGATATGGCGGAGGCTCGGCTGATGGCACAGAGAAAGGATAGACCTTCCCCTTCCCATGAGGACTGCCAGCGGGCAGAGTTAGAAGAGGAGGAGCATCATATTTTAAATACCTTAAATACATCAGCACAAAATCCTCTTCCACATGACAAGGCCCCTCCCGTGCAGACCCCTGAGGCTGCACAG